GCCTCCCTGTTAGGTATTCTCTGATCCATTGCAGTGCCCGTCCTGTTATACGTGCCTGTTCCTCTAGCTTCTGTACTAATCTCTTGTGAGGAACTGTGTCGAAGGCCTTCTTGCAGTCCAAGAAAATGCAATCAACCCACCCCTCCCTCTCATTTCATACTTCAGTTACCTTGTCCTAAAACTCTAGTAGGTTTGTGACACAGGATTTGCCTTCCATGAATCTGTGCTGGCTGTCGTTTATAATCTTGTTCCGCTCCAGGTGCTCCACCACTCTCCTCCTGATAATCTTTTCCAAGACTTTGTATAATATACAAGTCAGTGACACAGGTCTATAATTTAGTGCATAATTTCTGTGTCCCTTCTTAAAGATGATGACTACATTTGCCTTCTTCCATACTTCAGGTAGTTGCCCAGTTTCAAGGGAAGTGTTGAAGATTGTGGTTAGTGGCACACGTAGTGTCCCTGCTCCCTTTGTAAGGACCCATGGAGAGATGTTGTCCGGTCCCATCTCCTTTGAGGTATCAAGGTCACTTAGGAGCTTCTCTGCCTCCTCCTCAGTTGTGTGTAATTCATCCAACACTTGTGGTATTCCCTTGTTGCTGTACGCCCTTTTTTGTCTTCCCGTTTTTTCCCTTCCCCCTCCATGAATACTTCCTGAAATCTCATGTTGAGCTCCTACATACCCCCTGGTCGTTTCTTTTGGCCCCCCACCTCTTTCCTAGCCTAAACCCTGGTCCTTGAGAGTTGTTTCCCTCCTGAAGTGGCGTAGAGTATTTTTGGGTCAGATTGGGCTTTCGATGTATGTCATTTTATACTGCCGCTGGGCCTCCCTTTTTATCTGTGCATACTCGTTTCGGCTCGTCGACTAATTCTTTTTCTCCTGAGTTTTTGGCCTTCTGTATTTTTTCCCATTCTCTAGACACTTATTTTTTTGCCCCCCTGACCCGGGGGAAAACCAAGGGCTCGTTTTGTATGTATGTATGTATGTTGTTGTATGATGTATGTTGTTGTTGTATTATGTAGTATGTATGTATGTAGATTTTGGGTGGTAGTTTTAGTTGTATGATGTTGGAGCAGCCCCCCTTGATCAAAGAAATATTAAGTATTTTTAAAATTTATATGTTTTTTGTATTATGTATGTTGAGTATTATGTTTGTATGTATGTATTTTTGTAGTATGTAGTTGATGAAAAATTGTTGGGGCGGCAACCTTGAAAAAGAAATATTTAGTTTTTAAAAAATTTTTTGTATGTATTTTGTATGTTTATGTATGTATGTATGTATGATGTTGTATGTATGTATTTGTATGAATGTATGCATGTATGTATGTATGTTGTATTATGTATGTATTATTATTATTTATTATGTATGGTCAGATCACTGACAGTGATAAGGATTGTGTGAAATTTAAAAACCCTCTTCCTCTATTTTACCCAGGAAAATATGGCGATATTCTTGAAAAAAGTTTATTAAACAGGATAAAAACTAGGGATTTTGCAGTAATATGAATGGTCCTCGGGACAAATAGAGAAAACTAAAATCTAACAATCCCCGGGCCCCCGATGAACTGTTTGAAAGGGGAAAAGGAAGATGAGGCAAGGTCTTATTGTTGTTAAACTCAAACACAGGTCTTATTGTTGTATATCACAAACACAGGTTTATTGTTTTTATACTCAAAAACCCCAAGGTCTTTTGTTGATACCCAAAACACAGGTCTTCTTGTTGTTATTTCAAAAAAACAGGTTTCTTGTTGTATCCCCAAACAAAACACAGGTTTTCTTGTTTTTTATCTCACAAACACGGGTCCCTTGTTGTATACCCCAAAAACACGGTTTTTGTTGTATATCACAAACACGGGCTTATTGTTGTATACTACAAAAAAGGCTTCTTGTTGATACTCACAAACACGGTCTTCTTGTTGATACTCAAAAAAACAGGTTTTCTTTTTTGTATATCACAAACACGGGTCTTTTTGTTTTTTATATCCAAACCGGGTCTTATGTTTATATCACAAACACAGGTCTTCTTGTTTTTAAACTCACAAAAAGGTTTCTTGTTGTATCTCACAAACACAGGTCTTATTGTTGATACTCACAAACACGGGGTTTTCTTGTTGTATACTCAAAAACCCAAGGTCTTCTTGTTGTTACTCACAAACACAGGTCTTCTTGTTGTATACTCAAAACCAGGTTTATTTTTGTAACTCAAAAACAAGGTCTTTTGTTGATATCACAAACAAGGTTTTCTTGTTGTATACTCACAAACAAAGGTCTTCTTGTTGTTACTCACAAACACGGTTTATTGTTGTATACTACAAACACAGGTTTATTGTTGTATACCAAAAAACACGGCTTTTTTGTATACCCCCCAAAACACAGGCTTTTTTGTATACTCACAAAACAGGTCTTATTTGCGTATACTCCAAGCACAGGCTTCTTGTTGTTTATCACAAACCAGGTCTTTTTGTTGTATACCACAAAACGGGTCTTCTTTTTGTATACTCAAAAAACACGGGTTTCTTGTTCTATACTCAAAAAACAGGTTTCTTGTTGTATACCAAAACACAGGTCTTCTTGTTGAACTCACAAACACAGGTCTCCTTTGTTGTTATCACAAAAAGGTCTTTTTTGTATACTCAAAAAACGGTTTTCTTTTTGATACTCAAAACAAGGTTTCTTGTTGTATCTCACAAACACGGTTCCTTTTTGTATATCAAAACACAGGTCTTTTTGTTTATACTCACCACAGGTCTTTTTTGTTGAAAACTCAAAAAAACACGGGTCTTCTTGTTGTATACCACAAACACGGTCTCTTGTTGTATACTCAAAAACACAGGTTTCTTGTTGTATACCAAAAAACACAGGCTTTTTGTTGTATACTCCAAACACATTTTCTTTTGTTTATCTAAAAACACAGGCTTCTTGTTGATTTTTCCAAAAAGGTTTTTGTTGTTACTCACAAACACAGGTCTTTTGTTGTTTACTCACAAACCAGGTCTTTTGTGTATACTCAAAACACAGGTCTTTATTGTTGTATACTCACAACAAGGTCTTTGTTGTATACTCCAAACACAGGTTTTCTTGTTGTATACTCCCAAACCAAAAGGTCTTCTTGTTGTATACTCAAAACACAGGTCTTATTGTTGTATACCACAAACACAGGGTCTTCTTGTTGTATCTCACAACAAGGTCTTCTTGTTGTATACCTCACAAACCGGGTCTTCTTGTTGTAATACTCACAACACAGGTCTTCTTTGTTCTTACTCAAAAACACAGTTCTTTTTTGTTGTATACCCCAAAAACACAGGTCTTCTTGTGGTATACTCACAAACACAGGTCCCTTGTTTTTGTATACCTCACAAACACAGTCCTTCTTGTTGTTACTCAAACACAGGTCTCTTGTTGTATCCCTCACAAACACAGGTTCTTGTTGTATACTCACAAAAACAGGTTCCTTGTTTGTATCTCACAAACACAGGTCTTCTTGTTGTATACTCACAAACACAGGTTTATTGGTGTATACCCACCAAACAAAGGCCCTCTTGTTGTATACTCAAAAAACACAGGTCTTTTGTTGTATCTCAAAACAAGGTCTTCTTGTTGTATACTCACAAACACAGGTTTTCTTGTTGTATATTTCAAAAAAGGTTCTTATTGTTGTATATCACAAACACAGGTCTTCTTGTTGTATACTCAAAACACAGGTCTTCTTGTTGTATACCAAAAACAAAGGTCTTGTTGTTTATACTTCCACAAACACAGTCTTCTTGTTGTATACCCCACAAACACAGGGTCTTCTTGTTGTATCTCACAAACACAGGTCTTCTGGTTGTATACTCACAAAACACGGTCTTATTGTTGTATACTCCCCAAACACAGGTCTTATTGTTGTATACTCAACAAACACAGGTTCTCTTGTGGTAACTCCAAACACAGGTCTTCTTGTTGTATACTCACAAAACACAGGTCTTTGTTGTATACTCACAAACACGGGTTTCTTCTTGTTGTATACTCACAAACACAGGTCTTCTTGTTGTATACTCACAAACACTGGTCTTCTTGTTGTATACTCACAAACACAGGTCTTCTTGTTCTATACTCAAAAACACAGGTCTTCTTGTTGTATACTCACAAACACAGGTCTTCTTGTTGTATACTCACAAACACAGGTCTTCTTGTTGTATACTCACAAACACAGGTCTTCTTGTTGTATACTCACAAACACTGGTCTTCTTGTTGTATACTCACAAACACTGGTCTTCTTGTTGTATACTCACAAACACTGGTCTTCTTGTTGTATACTCACAAACACAGGTCTTCTTGTTGTATACTCACAAACACAGGTCTTATTGTTGTATACTCAAAAACACAGGTCTTCTTGTTGTATACTCACAAACACAGGTCTTCTTGTTGTATACTCACAAACACAGGTCTTCTTGTTGTATACTCACAAACACAGGTCTTCTTGTTGTATACTCACAAACACAGGTCTTCTTGTTGTATACTCACAGACACAGGTCTTGTTGTATACTCACAAACACAAGTCTTGTTGTATACTCACAGACACAGGTCTTCTTGTTGTATACTCACAGACACAGGTCTTCTTGTTGTATGCTCACAAACACAGGTTTTCTTGTATACTCACAGGCGCAGTAAAGGACTACTCCACCAATAAAGTAATCCATCACTACAGACTAAGTAATCCAAGTAACCTCTTCTCGTTTTCACTTAAATTTACGTCAATATATATTTTTTTTTAATAATTATAATCCATTTTGTTTTCCTTGGCAGTAGATAAAAGTTCCTGCCGACCGTCTATCATTTAGATTCAGTAATTACTTGACACACCTCCTCAACAACATTACAGAACCTTACAGTATTACGCCATATTCACTTTTAACAGAGAAATTTACACTTTAATTAGAGATATATATATTAATAAAAATATATTACAGTATACAAGAGTTGTTAACAGCAGATATACCGGTATATTTTATCTTACCAGTTAATTAAGGATGATGGTGAGAAGTTGAGTGCCAGAGAGAGAAGCGTTGTCACCAGAGCTGTCATCACTAACACAACGATGCACATCTTTGACTCTCGTAGCGTTCCCATTCTGATTACCTGCTGAAAGTTCCGGTTAGACCCAAGGTATAGCATCATAGGTGTAACATAAGGTATAGCATCATGGGTGTAACACAAGGTATAGCATCATGGGTGTAACACAAGGTATAGCATCAGGGTGTAACACAAAGGGATAGCATCATGGGTGGGAAAAACAAGGTATAGCTTCATGGTGTTAACACAAGGTAAAACCCTTTATGGGGGCGACAAAAGGTATACCATCATGGGTGAAAAACAAGGAATAGCATCATGGGTTTTTAACACAAGGTTATAGCATCATGGGTGCAACACAAGGTTTTAGCATCATGGGTGTAACACAATGTATAGCATCATGGGTGGAAACACAAGCATAGATCATGGGTTGTAAAACAAGGTATATACATCATGGGTGTAACACACAAGGTATAGTTATCATAGGTTAACACAAGGTCTAGCATCATGGTGTTAGCACAAGGTTAGCATCATGGGTTTTAACACAAGGTCTAGCATCATGGGTGTAGCACAGGTATAGCATCATGGGGTGTAAAACAAGGTCTAGCATCATGGGTGTAGCACAAGGTTTTAGCATCATGGGTGTAACACAAGGCATAGCATCATGGGTGTTTAAAAAAAAGGTATAGCATCATGGGTGTAAAAAAGGTATAAACATCATGGGTGTAAAAACAAGGTATAGCATCATGGTGCGACAAAAGGTATAGATCATGGTATAACACAAGGTACATCATATGGGTGTACACAAGGTATAGCATCATTGGTGTAACACAAGGTATAGCATCATAGGTGTTAACACATGGTTAAACATCATGGGTGTACACAAAGGGATTGCATCTTGGGTTAACCAAGGTATAGCCATGGGTGTAACACAAGGTATAGCATCATAGGTGTAACACATGGTAAGGGATAATAAGTGTAACACAAGGTATAGCATCATGGGTATAAAAACAAGGTATAGCATCATGGGTGTAACACAAGGTAAGCTTCAGGATGTACACAAGGTTTTTAGCAACAAGGGTGAAACACAGGGGATAGCATCATGGGTGTAACACAAGTACATAGCAACATGGAGTAACACAAGGATAGCAACAAGGGTGTAACACAAAGGTAAGCATCATAGGATGTACACACACGGTAATAGCAAACATGGTTGTCACACCAAGGTATAGCATCATTGGTGTAACACAGGTATAGCATCAAGGGTGTAACACAAGTATAGCATCATGGGTGAAACACAAGTTATATCAACAGGTGTGTAACACAAGGTATAGCATCATGGTGTAACACAAGGTAATAGCATTCATGTGTGCGACAAAAGTATAGCAAACAGGGTGTAACACAATTATAGCAACAATGTGTAACAACTAAGGTATAGCGCAGGGTGTAACCACAAGTATAGCAATCATGGGGGTAAACAGCGAAGGTCTCATGCATCATGGGTGTAACACAAGGTATACAACATGGGGTGTAACCCAAGGTATAGCAACAATGGTGTAACACAAGAATAGCAATCATGGGTTTAAAACACAAGTATAGTAACAGGGTTGAACACAATGTATAGCAACATGGGTGTAAACACAATGTATAGCAACATGGTGTCAAACACCCACCCCCAAGCACATCTCATCCAGCAAACATGGGTGTAACACAAGGTATAGCTCATGGGTGCGACACAAGGTAATAGCAAAATGGTGTAACACAAGGTGTAAGCATCACAGTGTAAACACAAGGTTAGCGTCATGGGTGTAACACAAGGTATAGCATCATGGGTGTAACACAAGGTATAGCATCATGGGTGCGACACAAGGTATAGCAACATGGGTGTAACACAAGGTGTAGCATCACTGGTGTAACACAAGGTATAGCGTCATGGGTGTAACACAAGGTATAGCAACATGGGTGTAACACAAGGTATAGCATCATGGGTGTAACACAAGGTAATTAGCTTCATGGTGTAACACAAGGTAAACATCATGGGTGAAACACAAGGTATAAGCGTCATGGTTGTAACACAAGGTATAGCAACATGGGAGTAAAACACAAGGTATAGCATCAAGGGTGTAACACGGGTATAGCATCAGGGTGTAACACAAGGTAAAGAAACATGGGTGTAACACAAGGTATAAGAGCATCTTGGGTGTAACACAAGGTATAGCATCTTGGGTGATAATACACAAGTATAGCAACATGGGTGTAAACACAATGTTATACAATCATGGTGCGATCACAAGTATAGCAACATGGGTGTAACACAAGGTGTACATCCACTGGTGTAACACAAGGTATAGCGTCATTGGGTGTAAACACAAGGTATAGCATCATGGGGTGCGACACAAAGGAAAGCACCATGGGTTTAACACAATGTTAGTCATCACTGAGTAACACAAGGTATACGTCATGGGTGTAACAACAAGGAATAGCAACAGGGTGTAACAACAAGGTTATAGCATCATGGTTGTAAACACAAGGTATAGCTTCATGGTGTAACACCAGGTATATCATCATGGGTGTAACACAAGGAATAGCGTCATGGGTGAAACACAAGGTATAGTCAACATGGTTGTAACACAAGGTAATAGGCATCATGTGGTAACACAAGGTATGGCAACAAGGGTGTACAAGGAGGTATTACATCATGGTTGTAACTCAAGGTATATTTAGCATCATTGGTGTAACACGAGGTAAGCATCAGGTGTAACACGAAGGTATAGCATCATGAGGGTGTAACAAGAGTTGTACAATCATTGTGTAACACGAGTTAATAGCATCATGGTAGTACACAAGGTATAGCTTTCATGTGTAACACAAGGTATAGCGACATGGGTGTAACACGAGGTTATAGCATCATAGGTGTACACAAGGAATAGCAACATGGGAGTAACACAGGTGTAGCTTCATGGGTGTAACACAAGGGTATATCATCATGGTGTAACACTAGTTATAGCAATCATGGGTGTAACACAAGTATAGCATCATGGTGATAACACGGTGCGTGTGACATATATTATCATGGGTGTAACACAAGGTATAGCAATCATGGGTGTTAACACAAGGTATAGCATCATGGGTGTAAACACAAGGTATAGCCCTCATGGGTGTTACACAAGGTAATAGCATCAATGGGTGTAACACAAGGTATAGCATCATGGTGTAACACAAGGTATAGCATCATGGGTGTACACGAGTAATAGCATCATGGTGTAACACGAGTTATAGCAACATTGGTGTAACATCAAGGTTAGCATCATGTGTAACTCAAGTAATAGCATCATGGGTGGTAACACGAGGTATACATCATGGGTAAGCACAAGGTATAGCATCATGGGTGTAACTCAAGGTATAGCATCATGGTGTGAACACAAGTATACTATCGTGGTGTAACACAAGGTATAGCATCATGGGAGTAACACAATGTATAGCAATCATGTGTAACACAAGGTATAGCATCATGGGTGTAACACAAGGTATAGCATCATGGGTGTAACACAAGGTATAGCATCATGGGTGTAACACAAGGTATAGCATCGTGGGTGTAACACAAGAAAATAAACAAAATTAATTTGCATTTGAATATGAATCGCAGAATAATGTGACATTTATTGTGGCAACGTTTCGCTCTCCAGGAGCTTTATCAAGCCATTACAAACAATACATGGACACAGAGGGTATATAAAGGCTCAGAGTGAGGTGAATACTAGTGAGGTACCTCACTAGTATTAATTACCGCTGAGGGAACAGAACAGAGGACTCACAGGTAATAACACGCTAGGGGCGAGGGGGAGGCGGGACTGGTAAAGAATAGATGGGGGAGAGGAAGTATTGTAGAATATTGTAGAATGTTGTAGAATATTGTAGAATATTGTAGAAAATTGTAGAATATTGTAGAATGTTGTAGAATATGTAGAATATTGTAGAATTTGTAGAATATTTAGAATGTTGTAAGATATTGTAAATATTGTAGAATATTGTAGAATATTGTAGAAAATGTTGAATGTTTGTAGAAATATTGTAAAATAATTTGTCGAATATTGTAGATATTGTAGAATGTTGTAGAATATTGTAGAATATTGTAGAATATTGTAGAATATTGTAGAATGTTGTAGAATATGTAGTAATATAGTAGAATATGTAGAATATTGTAGAATATTGTAGAAAAGTTTGTAGAATATTGTATAATATTGTAGAATATTGTAGAATAATGTAGAATATTGTAGAATGTTGAGAATATTGTAGAATATTGTAGAATATTTTAGAATATTGTAAATGTTAGAATAATGTAAATATTGAGAATATTGTAGAATATTGTAGAATATTGTAGAATTTGAAGAATAATGTAAAGTTGTAGAAAAATGTAAATAATTGTAGAATATAGTAGAATATTGTAATGCATATTGTAGAAATGTTGTAGAATATTGTAGAATATTGATAATATTTTGTAGAATGTTTTAGAAAATGTAGAATATTAGTAGAATATTGTAGAATATTGTAGAATATGTAGAATATTGTAGAATATTGTAGAATGTTTGTAGAATATTGTAGAATATTGTAAATATTGTAGAATGTTGTAGAATATTGTAGAAATATTGTTAGAATATTGAGAATATTGTAGATATTGTAATAAAGTTAGTAGAATATTGAAGAATATTGTAGAATTTTGTTAGAATATTGTAGAATATTGTTCAGAATATTGTAGAATTATTGTAGAATGTTGTAGAATATTGTAGAATAATTGTAGAATATTGTAGAATATTGTAGAATATTTGTAGAATGTTGTTGAATATTTGTAGAAGAATTGTCAGAATTTTGTAGAATATTGTAAATATTGGTAGAATGTTGTATAAGTTGTAGAATATTGTAAATATAGTAGAATATTGTTAAAATTGTAAATTGTTTAGAATATTGTAGAATATTGTAGAATATTGTAGAATATTGTAGAATATTGTCAGAATGTTTAGAAATTGTAGAATAATGTAGAATATTGGGTAGAAATATTGTAGAATATGTAGAAA